TACTTAATCTCTTTGTGCCTTGATTTCCTCATCTGCGAAATAAGAATATTACCTACCTCACAGGGCTGCTTGTAAGGATTAATATATATAAAGCATGGGGGGGGGTGTCAATTGTGGAAAAGGGAGACATATGTAAAACTTTAGACAATTAAAAAAAAAGCATTTAGTGTGGTGCCTGACAAGTATATACTGCAAGTGCTTTATTTTAGCTAAATAAAGATCTGCTTACATTAAAAATAGATGTAACAGACTGTGTTTAAAAGGTCATTTTCATTAAGTCATTTGCTTGAAATCCAATGCTGGTTAGATTTGTCATAATTCCACAGAAACTTACTAAACATAGTGTGACTGAAGTACAGCTTCCCATTGTTTCTGTGGGATAATGTATCAAAAGTCCCAACTGGCGGGTTGTGGGCTCTCGATCCCCAGTCGGTGGCGTGCAGAAGGCAGTTGATCAATGATTCTCTCTCATCATTGATGTTTCTATCTCTCTCTCCCTCTACCTTCCTCTCTGAAATCAATAAAAATATATATATATTTTTTAAAGTTCCAACTGAGCAAAAAAAATCTTACTTTTCTGATTATATTCTCAGTTTTTGGAAGTGACTTATTCAGCACATAAGAGACAAATGTGATTTTTTTTTCGGACACAATTAGGAATTTTTGAAGAAACACTAGTGATTTTTACGATATAGATAGGAGTAGGAAGAGTATCTGAGAATTGTGGATCATAAATAAGCTTTGCATTTCTTGTTAATGGCCAAGGACTGATAATCAAAAGGCAGCTATGTGAATTTCCTAGCAAAGAGAGGAAAAGGTGTATACACTATGTATGCATGGATACACTGGCATGCAACATATTCATGGAGTACTATAAACTTCATTTAGTTCTTCATGAATGACAAACTGCCATCTCAGAATACTGCATTAAAACATCAAAATCACTATAAGATATCTTATTTCCATTTTTTAGCTAGATTTAGAACGTTGTTTTCAAGGTCATACAGATATTTAAGTTAGACTATAACCTGTATTTGTTTCCACTGCTCAAAAGAGTCTCTATGACAAAGACAGAACAAGTCACAGGTACCAGAAGAACCAGAAAATTTCCAGTAGTAGCAAGGAAGGAAAAGTAGAAATTACCACTGCTAGAACAACTATTTCACAGGTTCCTTGTTATGTCCAAGACTGTTGGTTGGCATTTCTGTATTCTTAACCATAAATTAAACAGAATATTTTATTAAAATGTTTTGCTTAAAGTTTTCTGTCCAAATGGGTAAGTTTACATAATTGATTTTACATCTTTAGTGTGTGAACTGTGTATTTCTAAGTTGAATTTCTCCGTGTCAAACAATTATGCATACTAGTAATTCAAAGTATAAAATGAAGTGAAATTTGGAATATAAATACCAGATTCATTTTGTTGCTTTATGAATGAATTTTTATATACTGAGTTCTTTCATTAAAGCAAGAACATGCATATTAATTTGCAAGATCTGCTTGTCAATCAAGTCTTTGATTAATAAACAACACTGAATTATATGACATATTTGTCAATGTGTATTTAAGCCTTATTTACTTTTAATAAATAAACTCTGCAATACAAAGCATGTTTCTAAAGGATAAAAAATGAAACAGATCAGATGACCAGATCCCACTTTTGAAATTAATGTACAACTTTACATACTGAAGAGACACAGTGTAAAAAGAAATAAAATTATATACCTTCAATTTAACTATAAAAAAAATAATGCAATCTCTTACCTTAAAAAGAACTACTAGTATGGGGGGAGGGGGGGTCAATGGGAAAAAGAAAAAAACAACAAAGGGGACAGCTAGAATACAATAAATGTATAGATTTATACATTTAAATGTATCAATTTAAAAGAAAAAGAACAAGTAAAAAGAAAAAAAAGGCTCAATAATAAAGAATACAGAATGAGCCGAAACCGGTTTGGCTCAGTGGATAGAGCGTCGGCCTGCGGACTGAAAGGTCCCAGGTTCGATTCCGGTCAAGGGCATGTACCTGGGTTGCGGGCACATCCCCAGTGGGAGATGTGCAGGAGGCAGCTGATCGATGTTTCTCTCTCATCGATGTTTCTAACTCTCTATCTCTCTCCCTTCCTCTCTGTGAAAAATCAATAAAATATATTAAAAAAAAAAAGAATACAGAATGAAGATAAAGCTGAAGAAACATGTCCTGCTGGTGACAAGATGGCCTGGGGAAACGGCCTTGCCATCTTCACCAATTAATAAGTCTAATTTGACCCAGCCACATTTCAAATGCCAAAAGAGTAAGAGTATTGTTTACCCCAATGTTCAAAAATATTGCCATATTTGCTGTAAAGAGGGAAAATGCTTCCTTTAATTTACCCTATCAAGCTTCTCAACAAATTTAATGTAACTGAACTTATACACACAAACTTGAGAAAAACCACACAATATCAAATAGAAATCGCTGATATTTTATGTACACAGATAAAAAGTCCCCTATGAAAGGTGGGACAAGGAGGGAAAAAACAAACAAACATGGTTCTTTTAAGTATCTGTTATGCCCAGCAAAAAAGCAGTAATAAAAGTTAGAAGCTAGCTGAAATAGCAATGAACGTTTGTTCATTTTGTAGGTTTAAGCATGGATACCTCAATTGCAACCAATACTAATCAGCTGCTTAAGAAAAAATAAAGCCCTAACCGGTTTGGCTCAGTGGATAGAGCGTCGGCCTGCGGACTGAAAGGTCCCGGGTTCGATTCCAGTCAAGGGCATGTACTTTGGCTGCGGGCACATACCCCAGTAGGGGATGTGCAGGAGGCAGCTGATCGATGTTTCTAACTATCCCTCTCCCTACCTCTGCAAAAAATCAGTAAAATATATTTTTTAAAAAATAAATAAAAACCACTATTTAAAGTTGTCCAAAAAATTATAAATAATTTGTGGACGAGGATGCATTAAAAGTACTAAAAATCTGCATTTTCACCAAAAATGAACAATTCTGCACTATTTTATATATCCTCAAACTACTATAGTTTCAATCTGGCGTTCCACTTTCATACACTTTAGGTTTTTAGGTTCACTACTCCCCAAATTTAAATGCAGAATCCAAATCATCCTGGGACAGCACTAGAACAATCACTATACTGTGTCACTGATTGAGAATTAAGCTCACTAAACATTCACATTAAACAAGGTATAGAATCACATCTTGTATAACTTTGTTGGTACAATGTTCTAAAATCAGGGTCTATAAATATTTACTGACTCAAAATAGTCCTTCAACACTCAGTAGAGTTCTGTTCTGTGCTGTTGAAACAAATCTGCATTATTTTGCAAAATCTAAAGGACCTAAATGTTACTGAAATTTCACAGAATACATTATTACTGTTTAGAAGCTTTAGCCTTGCCACCATTACCAGCTGTAATTTTTTTTTTTTAATGACACTGGTAAAGTGGGTAGGACAGCAGATACGGTCAAAAGTGAACATCAGAACCCATTAAAAGGGATTTAAATTAAAATTTTACAGATTTCTCCTAAGTCTTTACCTATGTAACATTAATATCCCAAAGTCAACTAATTGTATCAGAAACCTAAGAGACAGTTTTGCAGTCAATCTAATTTCCAGGAACATAAATGAAAACTGATACCAATAAAAGAACAAGTAATCAAGCAGACAAACTCCCCTAAATTCTGGCAACAAGGTAAGAATAGTTTACATCAATCATCAATGTAATGGGGGGGAAAGCCTTAGAGTGAGTGAGTGAGTGAGTGTGTGTGTGTGTGTATACATATATACATATATACACACATAAACATACACACACACACACACACACACACACATATATATATATAGCTTTCCCATGGCTAGTTAAGCAAATTTGTAGACCATTACCAAAACCACAAACTAGCATTAGATATACAAAAATATCTGGCAACCCTGGTCTAGAACTGGTTCCAGAGTGTCAAAGGATTTCTGGTTGCTAATAAACTCCATTATACCTCTAAAGCAATGTCACTTAGGTGTGACATTCCTAAAACAGCCACACAGGCAGGCCTAGAAGTTTCAGGGAGCCGGTGCTGGCAAACCCAAACTAGGACCAAGATACCCTCTCCTTTGGGCGGTCACTCCCAACTTTCTGTTCTGGGATCTGCTTGCTTCAACTAAGTTTAAAATAGTGCCTAATTGGAGAGGAAAACGGATAAAGAAAACACACATGGAAAATTAATTTTCAAAGTTAAGTGAAGTGAGTCTTTAAAAAAAAAATGCTTTGGGCAGTGAACACTCTGAAGAACTGGACCCGGACTCCTCGGCATGCTCGGCGGCGTGCGCAGGGCGCGGAAGGGATGAATGAATGGGAGGCCGGCGTGTGTGCTCGGCGGGAGGTCCGGCCTGCGG